CAGGCATTGCGAGGAGCGGAGGTGAGACGGGGAGGCGGTTATTCCTGACCCTCTCCCTCAAGCCTCATCCGTCAGCATCCAGAGTGTCCCCGCTACTGAAGAGCTGCCAACAGGAGAGTACGAGGTAGGAGTTCTAATGGCCTATTGGTGGCCTCCAGCCCCCGCCAAAAAATGAAGTTACGGGATCGTCACTCATGCATAAAAGCAGTCCCAATAAATCGAACGGAACGCTACTGCTGCCCGTGAGCCCCTCCTCATTCCATCGTAATCGAACGGCGGCGCTCAGACCTACGCGTAAGAACATCTAAATCCCAGGCTTGGCAGGTGTCATGGACCGTGGCTGCCAATCCGCTGCTGTTTCCCAGTTTCTCCCGAGCCAAAGGAAAAGCGCAATAGTCCCTCTCCGAGGGTGCAAAGAATGCACTTGGAATGTACGCTTGGAGCGGCGGCCAGGCCGGGAGAGGGCCGGTGATCCGACACGACCAACGGCGGTGAGCGGGAGCCAGACGGTCGAGTGGCGCTCTGGCATGCCGTGACAGGGGCCGGGCTAGCGCCGGCGAGGGCTCGCCTGGAAACGCGCTGCGATTTTGGCAAACGGCCACATTAACACATCCATGCCGGAGGGATCTTGGCAGCCTTCAGTCAGGCCGTTTACAGAGCTAACCGCGGCACCGGCTCTCTCCAGCAAAAGAGAAAAAAACCCATTCCAGCTCCAGTTCCTGCCGCGACCCGTCCAGCGTCTTACGTCATACTGAGCCCAGAGGTCTCAAAACAAATGCTATTTATTCCCACACTCCAAGCAATCAGCTTCAATAATAAATACTACCTGTGAGTAAAATTCTATAGAAAAGAAATAAATGTAATAAATATTAAAGGCCTTTATGTTTATTTTCTTTCACGGACCTCCTTCATATCCATTAATTGATGGTGCATGTGAATTGTCTTTTTTCCAAGAATGTGTTTTGGTGCACAACTCATCTCCACTTCTTTTTCACAAGAGAAATTCAGAGCCTTCTAGCTTTTGCAAAAAATCAGGGGTTAAATCAAGTTCACCCGGGGCTTGACTTTTTTGTTTTTTGAACGAAGACGGTAAAATACTCTGAATTATAGTCCCGACGGTTTCAACCTCTGCTGAAGACACTTTTGTTGGTGGCACACAAAAAAACTGGACGAGTGACGTTTCATTAGACATCTTACCTTTTGCCCTGGGCTCCTCTGAATCGACGGATTTGCCCAACAGTCCGTCAGCAAGACAGAGGATTAAAACACACAGGCTGCAGGGGACGCCGATGCCGTGAAGCGTTTGCATCTCTGTTTCGTAGCCAAGGGACGTGGGGATGGGTGGAGTGCGTTAGCCTTCAGCTGGCCTCGGGGACCTCCGTCGTCATTGGCAGACTCACGTTACCCTCTCAGTAATTCGTCACCTACAGAGGATCGAAAATAAAGTTACCCAACTCTGTGAGCATGTCGTCCTAAGGACAACGATTCTGGCACGCCTGCGACATAGTTTTGACGTCAGATCTTTAAATGCAGCGAAAAGTGAAGTTCACCAATAATTTTAAATGACCCTGTGATGGTTTGCTAGTTGTCCTGAATGAAAGGCGCATCTAAACGATGGGTCCGTAACAAATGAAAGAATTTTAAGTTGCCGAGTGACTGATTAGTATGGTAATAGTTTAGCCGGGACCGGTGTACGTGACCAATGAGTATACAAAAGTGCGTGAGAAACCCATTCTTTCCCATTCATTCTTTGCATGCCGCAATACTTTTAACTAAAGTATTTCCAATTAGCTGCACTGATCTCTTCAGAGCTCCCCAGTTCTCCGTTATTTAAACTTTGTCCAGTCGACGCGGGATTGAAAGAATTACAGACGAACAACGTAATTCAACTAGGTGCGTCAAGAAGACAAGATAGAGGTTATTATTGCTGGTGACTATAACCGTACGGGCAACACTACACCAGCACAGGGGGCAGGGTTCTCTCAGGATGGAAAACCATGTGCCGGCCATCCCCCGCGCACAGCTTGAAATCACTCCGTCCTGTGTGCGTAAAAATATCTCAATTTCAGTTCCTGTCGTCTTCAAGCCTGAAGAACCACATAACGCCAAGTACTTCAGACGATGTGCCTCAGCTTGAGAGAACCCTGACATCTCTAACGCCTTAACAATTATCGGGATGCACCTCTCAGATCAAATTAAGACTATAAAACATCATTCATTAGTATATCCTAAGTCATGTATGGCCGCAGATATGTCAGTCAGCGAATGAGGTCATTCTATTCACTAGCTATAGGGTTTAATATAAGAAGTAGTGGTCCGTTATAATGCCCACGTCATAAATCAGGCCATTCTTCTGCTCTGTTACATTCCAACAAATATTTTAGTTAAACTTTAACAAGAGTGTAAACACCACAAAGGGGCTGTCGCTTCAACAATCCAACCAGGGCGCAGTAAAAATCAATGTGCGAGAACAAATAATTAGTCTTATCTTGTGTCTTGTTGGCAGTAAACGAAAGCTACTAACCCTTAGAAATAAACGTGAGCATGTGCCTTTGAACTTTAAATATGTGGGCAAATGTGAGAAAACAAATTATGTTTAAAACAAAATATTTTTTGGAATAAAATATAAAACTAAGACCCGAGGGAGGAACGTTGTCATCGCCACTGAACGGCATTTCACCGAAATTGAAGAGGACAAACTACTTAGCCTACATACACATTCAACAAACCATCTAAAGATCTCGAGTATGAGAAAATCGCTGATACATTTTAAAAAGTATCTCTGGTAATTCAAGATTAGCCGTGATTATAGGTTTGCAGTGGCAAAGTCATTCAAACAAGTCTTAAATTGCCGTTAGGGTGATGAGGATGTAGCAAGAGTTTGTAATTTATGATCATCCAGTATTGCATCTGCATTGATGTACTGTACCAACTTAATAACTGAGAGCGTAAGTCAGGCTATTTAAAATCCAAACTGTAGCAATCGATTACCTGTTTCGATCTTTAAATGCTCAATCCGTTCTTCAGTTTGATTAGGTAAGAGACGATCTATTTCTCTTCCAAAAGAATTAGGAGCCCCATTAAGGTCTATCCTTCACGATGCTCTGTGATAGTTTGGCGATATGTTTTGTTTGCCAGGATGCAGACGGTGGCTGAACTATGAATACATCCAGATCAATAGAGCAGCACCTCGCTGATCCTCGGAGCTCTGCGCAAAGTCCGCTTCACCCTGCTTCTGCTTCGGCTCTGAAACGGAGCGAAAGGCGAGTCCTCCAGCAAGAGCCGCTAATCCAAAGAACTGAGGGATATCCAGGAGATACCCGGTGACTCCTACTAGTCTAGGAATGCAAATATGGGAATTATGAATGAAAAATATGATTAATGTCCCTTATAACGCGATGAGTCCGTAGGTCGTCCCGGGCTGTAAAATGTAAAAATGATTGAGCCGCAGGGCAATAACAATGGAGCATATGCCGGCTGTTTGTGCGGGCTATGTGGCTCTCCGTCGTCTCTAGCTGTCCAATCCCTTCTTAAATGTTGCGTCCTATGGAAATAGGAGTTTTTGTAAGCAGCCAGTCCAGCTCTGAATTGGCGGCTCTCCGGTTACTCTGCTGCGCTGCCCGGAGCGTTTCACTGCGAGTGCAGCTCTGGGCTGTGTGAGCCGCAAGGTCACAACAATAGACTAAAACATGAGAGAGAGAAAGGAAGAAGGAGGGGGCATGATTCAGTAACCCCCACCCCTCCCCAAATAAATCCCTCACGACCAGTTGCAAGCGACACAAATGCACAGCGCGATCTACCCCAACAAGACAGGCACTGCCATACTGCAGCCCTAAACACCTAAGAATTTAGAAAGGTTTACTTGCGATTATTCGTAAGATGTATTGGTAAGACAAGAATTTTAAAAGCGTGTTAATGTACCTGAGGTAAATATACACAATAACAAACATTAACACTTATAGATAAGATTATAATGATATCGACTTCGTGTATGAAAATACAATTATGTATAAAATGCTTCAAATATGTTAACTGTGAAAATAAAAGATATATGGAAGATGAATGCACGAATCGATGAAGAAACTTTAGTTTCAGTTTTACGGTTTACCTAAGCATATATTCTCCTTCAAAATTTTACTTCTTGTTTTTTTGTTTCATTCATAATAATTAATCACCACACATTATCAATTGGCAATAAAATAGTTCATTCTGTAGGCTTTCTTAAATAAACAAACTGTTCTCTCCTCGCCATTATTTAGGTCCAGTTTATTAGGGTCCATGATGAAATGATGGCAAAACAAATAAGGCGTATCCTTTGAAAACAAGCGCAATTACAAGGTCCTCGGCGATTGCGCTGATTAGCTGCGAATTGCTCCTAATGACATCACAGTAATAGAGCTGGTACTTAAGTAATCCTTTTAGCTGCTGCCATACAGCTCAAAACAAAACGGCGCGTAATTAATTTATTAAGCAGTTGTTGCTCCCAAAGTTAAAGTCTGTATTGAGGAAATTAATTAGGACCGTAAATAAACTCCGAAGAAAGGCACTATACATACAAGAGCATGGTAACGCGCACAGTATCATGTGATGTCAAATGCAAATGCAAAAAATGAAAAATAAAACATTATACAAGGAGAGATTTATATTATATCAATATTAAATCCTAGGCTGTCAAATTAAGTTTTGTATATGAGGTCTAGAAAATGCGATTAGGCTTCCAATGACTGGTTCACTCCGCAGCAACAATGACCCACTTCATTGACATTGAAGCGACTAAGACCGCGCTGAGCCGCGACCTGCGCCGCACTTCAGCCTGAAAAGCACAGGAGCGGGATCACGCAGGTGCCGTGATAGATTGAGCTCGGGTGAAGAGGTGACGGTAAAGCCCTAATGGCGAAGAGACGGATCTGAGAGGGGGATTGTGTTTGAAACGAACGCCGCCGCTTCCATTCATCACGCCTTTACAGTGCGGCTCCCCCTTCTCTCTCCCCCCTCTGCCTTCACACACAAGACCCCCCACCCTCCCCCCGGCCAACACTCTGCCAACAATTTTCTACTTGAGATGGGGGAATATCTTTCATGTTCTCATTAGACACAATGGTGTGAGAATATGGCCCTCGTCCAAAACACACACACACTCCGTCTCTCTAGCTTGCTGCGAAGCATCGCCGGGTTGCACAGGAAAAGAGGAAAAGTCCTCTTTTTTACCGCGTTAGATCAAAGACAGACGTGCACTCATTCATCCGTAGCCACATTTTATTATAGTGTCGCTTGGTTTTGTTAAGATGCTTCACAAAGAAAGATGGCAGGTTCTGAAAAATCCAGCTCTCTGTAAAAAGTATAAATCATTATGCATACTTTAATTACAGATGAGAGTAAAGACTGAGTAAAACAACAGAGACTCCTGTAATCGGTGCGGAGGGGCGTTTTTACAGGTCTGAGTGCGCTCAGTGCTTTTCGGAATAATTGCTCTTGCGTAGAGACATACGCACGCACGTTTGATTTTACGCTCTCAGTTATAATCGGTCTCTTTAGGACACCTACTGTTTAGTGCAGTTCGGAAACATTTAATGCGATGTTGGCGCGCTTTCATTTTTCCCTTTAATTTTTTTTTCAGAAGTTTACCCTGTCATAATCGTCCAGATTAATGAAACATCATATGGGTGCTGGCGTCCGTGGCGTTTCTCTCATTCTCTTTTAATGCATCCCTTTTGGGGTTCCCGTGATGTGAAAAGTGACACAGCGTCGGCAGGCAGTGGGGACGGCAGGCAGTGTCCCCACAGAGCCACTGTCTGGTCAGCTGACCTGGTTAAACTGCCCGGCCTCCCAGTGAAAGGTACCCGGGACCCCTGGATCTGTTTCTGAGGCTGGAAATCTCTCTGTCCCGACACCCTAGGAGAGCAAACGGCCTGGAAGCATCCATGGCATGAGGCCAAAAGAAAAAAAGAAAAAGCTCTCCAATAAAATCTATTCTTTCTGTTTTTCTCTCTCTCTCTCTCTCTCTCTCTCTCTCTCTCTCTCTACTCCAAAAAAACCTGGCATTCCACTTCACAATAAAAGACCTTCCCCACAACCACCCATGGCTTGCCTCGACCTGGCCAGAATTAAAGCCCACCGGACCCCTGCCACTTGCCTCCCCTGCCCAATCAGATTTGCCCCAAAATCCCAATGCCGCGCCTTTGTTGCAAACAGCTGAATCTGAATGCCCCATTAAAGCCTATTATCTGGAGCCGCTCTGTTTCCCCTCCGTACCCCCCCTTCGGACCGGCCCCCTCAAAGCGCCCCCTCTCCCCTAAGCCCTGCCTCGCCAACTTAATCAGGTATATCTATTATTTTGGCATTCTATCACGTCTTTGAGCCGGAAAACTAACAGTATCAGCACAGAATGGAGCACTGGCCAAGGTAAGTGATGCTGACCACAATGTGCTCGGTGGCACCGCCTCCCCCCCCCCCCCACACTCCCATTTGGCGCCTCCACGCTGGCCATACAAACCCAGCGAGTCCGGACTCTGTGGGTTCCTCTGGCGCCGGTTTGTGCAGCGGGTCAGATCCCACAGAAGCCGGGCCATTGGCGCCTGCAGAGAATTTTCATTGGGGTGGCCAGGAGGGAGGGGGGGGGAGGGGGGCGGGGGTGCAGTTATATTTATGAGGGTGGCCAGGAGTAAAAAGCTTACCGGCTGGGGGGATCGGTACTGTCGGATCAATCGGCTACATTTATCGATGTGCGTTGGGAATAAGGGACGGGTTTTAGAGCAGCCCATGTCCATGTACGCCCCGTTTTCTCCTGCTCACAGGAAGAAGCCTCATCTCAGAGGTCCTCCAGACGGAACACAGGCCACAGCCATTACGATTCATAAATCGGACTCGCCACAGAATATGCCAGGAATCCTCGTCCGTAAACACCGAAGTCCACCGCTAGACAGATCTGGTTCCCACCCTTGGGGTGAGCCGGCGGTGCCGTGATGTCTTTTGGCGAGTCGCTTCGATGCCGATCCGACGCAGTACAGGGCTCTGTGGATTAGGACTCTGCGCCCGTGAGCAGAGGGTCGTGCTTCAAATCGCATGGTTGGCAGGGTGACGTCACCATCGGGCCCACCAGCAAGGACTTTAACTCCCAGTTGCGCCGGCGGCTGGCTGACCCCTCTTACTCGATTCCACGTTGCTTTGGATACAAGCTTCTGCTAAATAAATAATCGGTAGGGGACATACGTCTGCCGGGACACCGGAGTATGTGCAGCGTGACAAGGGGGAAGGAAAAGCGTGTCAGTCACAAAACGACGGCACTTCATCTTAGTCATTCTCTTGGAGGGGAATTAACATTTTCCTGTGGATGGGAATATAGCTTTAGATTCTCCCCATCTCAGCTTGTATGTCCTTTTCTTTGATTCTGAACTGCAATTTGTGGGAGGATGACTTGGGCCATGACGACTGTTACTAGGGCAAGTCAATAAAGCTGGGGGGGGGGCTCTATTAGAACATGGCAAGGAAGTGTGCGGTCTGCTTCCGCGATGCTGTTATTCTATTCAGGATGTCTCAGTTCCTCTCGCTGGTGATTATTAAAGCGCACAGTAATCCTCCAGGGATGTCGGTATGGAAGTCCGTGCCCCCTATTTCGTTACGAAATATTCTCGTTGGAACGATCTGACTTCCTTTGTGGTATCTGTGTCTGCTTCAAACAGAGAAAGTTCTAGCTATACAAGCAGACGGCTTGACGGGATGCCCAAACCAGACCAAGGAACCGTTTTTTTTTTTTAAACTGTGTCCTTTTCATAGGGCTTTGTTCTGGACTTACAGAGATAAAAAAAACAAATGCTGTTATAGATGAATAATATTGCGTTCTTTGTTGTGGTTCTTCTGAGCTAGTTTAGCTAAGTTAGTAGAGTTACCGTTTTCCTTATTGCTGCCAGAGATTTGCGATGCATTTTATTTGCACATGTAATGTGAGTTGTGTGGTGAAGCCTACCTTAACCACATTTGAAGAGCAAATTTCACAAACTCACCGAGTCCATTTTTCGTTGTTTCCGAGATGAGGACCGAAAGTCAGGAACCCGCATGGTACGTTACAGTGTTGGGAACCAAAACCCACTCAGTCCTCATGTAATCCAATGAAGAACTTTCATTACATTTCCAAAACACACCAAATCCACAGAAACGTGAGTGAGTTTTGAAAGTCCATTCTTCATCTGAGCATTTAAGGTATTGAGTTCACTTTTGATCGTACAAAAAGCTACTTACGTTTAACAGTGAAGCGTAAGCTCCCACTAATGACACTTTAGTGAAACTCATGAAAAATAAAACAGAATAATACTAAACAGTAGAGATTATACATATATGCAAACCGGAAAGGCAGAAACAGTTGTATTTTTTATTCATGATGGTGTTTTTGATAATCCTTGTAGCGTCCTTCAGCATCCTGCTAATCTCAGAAGTTTGTGTTATTCAACACCGCTGGCAAATGGTCAATGGTAACATTTAGTCTGTCGCCATGCCTTTTTTTATCAGATTGCATTTGTAACAGGGTGAAAGGCCCCCTTGGCCGAGGTCAGGGGTGGGGGGGGTGGGGGAGCTTTTATTTTTTTTTCCACATGTTTGATAACGGCGCTTCAATGCATGCTTATGCTAACAAGGTAGCCAGGAGATCAGGCTGATAAGGGGCTCGGTGGTGATGCGAATACC